TTGAAACCCATGAGATGAATCCTCAAGTTAGAGTTGGAATCCTTCATTACGGACCCTTGATTAAAGGGCACGCTCTAGTCTCAAGGCAGGCGAGTGACCGCAGAATTCTGGTTTTAAGGTTTTTGTTGGTTTTAGTGGTCGGCGTTTGGGGGCTTTCCTGTGAAGAGGCTTCACGTGAGCTCAGTGGCATCTTAGTGAGACTTAAGATTGCCCTGTGAGATTTTTTCCACAGGGGTTTACAGCATGGCAGAGGAGAGATTTGAGATTGCCCTGTAGGGTTTGTTTTTCCACAGGGGTTTAGGATTTAGACAGCTTAGGCTGAGATCCCTACGTACCAAATGCCCTCTAGCCGAAGCCCGAGCCCCAGCCCCCGGCACCTCAGCCCTAAACCCTAAACCCCAGGCAGCTGCGACTATGTGGAGCTCTGTGAGGAGTGGCGGACGGCTCTGGCGGAGCATCATCGTCTTCCGGAAGCTCAGGTCACTACTCTTCTAGCATGTCAGGCCTGGGCTTCGGCAGGGTTTAGGGTTTAGGCTTTAGGGTTTAGGGCTGCAGGGTTTAGGGGTTTGGGTTTAGGGCTACGGGGTTTGGGGTTTAGGGGTGTCAGGTAAGGACAGACGGATCCGGGTCATAAAGGCCCCCGAAACCCAACCGTCACAAGGTTTTGGGTTTTTAGCGGGTTCTAGAGAGATTCGAGACGGGTTTTAAAAGGCGATCTCATCTAGATTTGGGGCTGTAGGGTTTATATCATATAGGGTTTTCGGTCGGGTTCAGTGCTGCAGATTCTTGGATTTCCGGGCCCCTGCAGGCAGAAGCACAGAAACTTCCTTGGGCCCAGCCATGCGAATGGATGAACTTTTCCGCCTGGTCATACGATCGGGTCACCGCCACACTGCAGACACCTATCCAGATGCCTACTTTCAAAGTGGAGCTCCTCACTAGTAGAGTAAGTAGCCTTTAAAAGTTTTTTTTTGGGGGGGTACTACAGTCCCTTTATCATCCCACCGTTTAACAACGTAAACCTCTAATTCTCTTAGGGTACAGGACAAGTGAGGCTCAAGCTCCCGCTCTCAGATTTCTTCGAGAGCCTTATCTCTTTGGGGGAAGGACTTCGCCCACTTGGCCTGGCTGCCGCAGAGATTCTTAGTAGCTGAGTAGGTAACCTTTAACCTTTTTGGGCTTATACAATCCTCCCATAATTAAAAGGTTAACCCTTTTTTGGGCTAGGGTACTCAGCCCCTAAGGATTTTCTGCCGTACCCAGCCATGGCAAAACTTCCTTTTCTGGAGGGGCAGACTTGGATACTTTCGGCGCCACGGTGGCCAGAATGGGACACTGGTACCGGTTGAAGTCGGCGAGAAACAGGTTTGGTTTCAATGGCTGCTTCGGGCAATGCACACTGGATCCCTGAGTTTGACCCGGACCATTCACGACTGCGACTTGGTTGTTTTTGAGACTAGAAACCCTAAACCCTAAACCCCTAATGACGTGGCTGAGCTCCTTGACCGAAAACCGAACCAGTCCCCTAAATCCTCAGACTTGTAAGCCTTTAAAGCTAAAAGAAACCACTAAACCCTGATTCCCCCAAACCGAAGAGCCTAAATTAAAGCCTAAGGGCCTGAACGCCCAAGGCCTAGCCCCAAACCCGAAGGCATAAACCCTCGAACCTGCACCCTAATATAGGGGCCTTAATAATTTGAATAGGGCTTGGGGTATATTATACTATAATTACAATAAGGAACCCCCAAAACCCTATTCTAATTATTAAGGCCCCTATATTAACCCGAAAGAAGATGCAAGAGCCCCTCAGATTCAGACTTCCCAGCTTCTTCTTACGATGGCAGCATACCGTACTCGGACACCTTGAAGAGACCGTGGGGCAATACGTCGCAGGTTCAGAAAAATGAAGTACTGAGACCCTAAACCCTGAACCCCAAACCCAACTGAATATAGCTCCGAAACCACGACGCCATTTTTGAGACCGCGATAAAACAAAAAAGCGCTTGAAAAAAAAACACATCAAGTCAAGGCATCTCTCAGGAGTATCGTGCACTTGGCTTCGATCTCCTTCCTGGTCTGGACCACATGTTACTGGGTTCTGGAGTAAGTTCCTTTTTCTGTTTGGATTTTTAGGGCTTGGAGACTGATAAGTAATGCCAAAGTAGATAAACCCTCTCGGATTTATGAATCAGAGGTCTGCGGGATTCCTATACGTATTTTCGCAGTTATACGTGCTGTGCTTTAGGGTTTCCGAACTGATCTACACGACCTTAGTCTAACTATGTAGGCTGCTAAGATACTCTATTAGATACTGCAAGTAGGCCCATTGCTTTTGAGTCTTCTGGACCCACCGCATCATCAGACAAAAAATCAACAGCTTGGAGCACAGTGGCGAATATCAACAACAGCGGCCACAACAGCAAAGACGAATATCAGAATGCAGCAGCTGCACTAGAAGTTGCACTCCATATCTTGAAACCCTAAACCCTAAAACCCCTAAACCCTAAACCTTAAAAATGGTAACACTGAGGGTTTAGGGGTTTAGGGCTCAGGGTTTAGGGGTTTAGGGTTTAGGGTTTAGGTTTAGGGTTTAGGGGTTTAGGGTTTAGGGGTTCAGGTTTAGGGGTTAGGGGTTCAGGGTTTAGGGGGTTCAGGGTTAGTGTTTTTTAGGGACCCCAAACCCCTGTGGTCTCGGAGGATCCCCAGACCCTTATATGGTAGCCCTCATAGAAATTCGGTCATTCCATTGAGGAATGGAACTCTTGGGGCGGAAGCCTGGGCCGCGAGCACGAAGCTCGCCAGTGGCCCTTCTGAGACCGGGTTCAGGGTTTAGGCTTTGGGGGTTGGGGTTTAGGGTTTGGGGTTCAGGGTTTAGGCTTTAAGGATTGGGTTTAGGGTTTAGGGTTCAGGGTTTGGGGTTTAGGGTTCAGGGTTCAGGGTTTGGTGTTTGGGGTTTAGGGTTTGGGGGTCTTTTCATCAGGGTCCAGGCTTGCTCTTTTGACTTATATGGTTTCGTAGAAGGGCGCGGCGTAGGCAGAAATGCTGCTCCGCAGAGTTCCTGTAGAAGCCAACATAGCTTTAGCAATACCCCTCTCATTGGCGTTGTTTCAAGCATTGTGGTCCCCATTTTTTCAAAACATTGCAATGCTCGTCATGTATACTTGTATGTATATATATATACATACATACATATACATACATGTGAAGCCTACGATCACTTCGTTAGAAATTAGGCTCAGTGCTACAACTTCTCCTTGAGTTACGAAGCCGCCCGGGTGTAAATTATGGCAGCCTTGAACAAGAAGTGTCCGGATTTTTTGGGTCGCGCAGGGTTCTCAAAAGCTCAGCTAGACAATGAGCTCTGGGTGTTTGTTTTTTTTGTAATGCTGTATTTCCATAGGGATTACGCAAGAACATCAGAGTCTCTTGGGGGCCCCCTCCGGGCTGTTAGAACAGAAAGATGCTGTCGGGGCTTCTAAGGTTTCGAGCTTTTAGGGTTCAGGGTGTAAGGTAGCCTGAAATCTCAGTTGCCTTGGTCGCCGCTGCTTTAGATCTGGTGCCCCGGGTCTACACCTCTCAGACTGCAGTCGCACTTAGCCGACGCATGGCAGAGCTCACACATTCTTGTCCAGATCGCATAGCCCTGCCTTGCCTTACCGCAGCCTTCGTCGTGCCTGGCCATGGGAAGCTCCTTTGGGCACCGTGAGGACAGGATTCTGGCCAACGATTCCAGAAGTCCATTCAGCGTTGTGAAATTATAAAGATAGGAATGACACTGCAGTGATTGTGAAGGGGGAGGCATGGAGGACATGTACTTAAACTTTAATAGTTCAGATTGTACTGCTAGGGCGAGGCTTGGGCTGGAGAAAGTGGGCGCCTCATGGCGCCTCCTTTCAGTGGGGCACTGTGGGCAAAGCGGGTGTTTCAGGTCCCCTTCCGGATGGCGAATTTTGATCAGACAACGCTGAACTGACTTTTGGGAGCCTTAGTTGGCATGCAGACTTGTACGTAAACAGACAGGACCATTCGGGCTCGAAGCCGAAAACCTCAGAAAGTTTGGAGCCTTTGGACCATCCCAACACCGCAATACCAGCCCCTAGAAGCCAACGCCGCCGAAGTGTGGAGAGGACACCTGCTGTTTGCCGCAAAGCTCAGACCTCGGTGTTTATTTAGTTCGGAGTGTATTCTGCGGTTTCTTGTGGCGTGGATGGTGACGCAGGGAGGGGCAATTCCCTGTCCTCGGTTCGACAACATGGGGACCCTAGTCTTGAGAAACTGCCGAGCCCTGGACTAAATGTCGATTATCCCAAAGAAATCTTCATATCTACCCTTTAAGCCCATTTCAAGGAGCCTTAATGTTCTAGTCCCAAATTGCCAAATTACAGCTCCCCGGAATGAGTTGACTCGTGGCTTCCCGCGAGGTTGCGGGCCGCTGGAATGGCTTCTACGCAAGAGAGGCGTGGTAGTGCAAAGTGGTACGGTTGATGATATAAATCCTGCATTACCCATAACAAGGAATAGACCATAATTTCCATAGTTTAGGGTCCTTCAGGTAATGCAGGGTTCATATCATCAACGGTATTTCTCAACATCAGCTTTCCTATTATAGCCCCTTATATACTGTACTTTCTACTACTATTATTGTTATTGTATAGTCTCTTTGGTCTAGCGGCTTTCTGGTGAATGGCCGGGAAGGTGCTTGGAAGACACCCCGGAGGCGCCGCCAGAAGCGACTGACACTGCTTGCCGGCTTAGGGTCTATCCAAAACATGTTTGAACAATCGGCTATGATTTTGGAGGCACTTCCCCGTTAAAGGTACTCTGTTTGGTCTAGATAAAAACGACACCTGAAATCGACATCCTAGGACTCAAACCCTAAACCTTGCGCTGAGACCTACAGCCCGAGCCCTCAATTCCTCAACTAAAGCGCCCACAGCCTGCACCGATGGTGGGCCTGACGGTGCAGTGGGGGAGGGGCCAGTCGACGCCATCAGTGCCAGGCCACGTACGACCTCCGGGTGAAGGAGGACTTGGCTAAGTTCTTGCAGGACGCCAACATCCGCCTCGTGCGCGCAGAGTGCTCCATCCCCCTTGCGGCATGTGACGAGCTTTGGATGGCACCACTGGAAGTTCTGGGCTCCAAGGTACCTCTACAAGCTGCGACACTCCAGGACGCCCCTGCCGAGACGGCAAGAAGCGGAGCATGCAGTCTGCGCCTGGATGAAATTGAGTTAGTTGGCTCTCTTCATTCTCTGCATAGCCAGGCGTGGCATCCTCAGGTACAGCTCAGGGGTGTCGACATGGAGTTGACATGTCCCGATTATACCCGGAAGACAGCAGCACGTTGCGCGAAGCCTCGAGCCCAGAGGCACCCAAAACATGACTGCAGCTTCTGAGGCGAAGTCAAAGGCGAGGAGACTTCTGCCTTGGTAACCCACATGGAGATCAGTGAGTGGGCAGCAGGGCGCAAAGACGCCCTGATTTGCTCCGTGTCGCACGCCTGGGAGACTAGGGAACACCCAGATCCATGCAGATTCCAACTGCGGCAGCTGGTGAACTGTGTTTCTCTGTATGATGCTGCCTACCATGATGACATCTGGGTCTTCTATGACTACGTTTCCTTGTTTCAGTTCGAGCGCCAGCGCGAAGAAGAGGAGCGAAGCTTCCGGCTGGCGATGCAGAACATGCAGGTGCTCTATGCGCACCAGGACAGCTTCACGTTTCGTATCGAGAGCCTCACGCCGGACGCCGTCTGGCAAGCAGCGCTTGAGGACTCTTCGTTCAAGGTGCCGGTGTTTCATCAAGCCAGCGGAGCAGTCCAACAGCTCCCGCTGAAGGAATTGGTGGAAAACCGCGTTCCTTATGGAGATCGCGGTTGGTGCAGGGGTGAAGTGCAGTGGTCCTGCGCCAGGAGCAGTACTGCACAGCACCAGAGGATCGACGCAGGTGACCAGTTAGGATTAGCTGAACTGAAGGGCAAAGTCCCGATGTCTCCCGCTGCCTTCGAACAGCTGATGGCAGATGCCCGGTTTACCCACAGGTCCGATAAGGAAGCTGTCAGCCAGCTCCAAGCCAAGATTTTCCACGACAAAGTTTCAGTTTGTGAAGAGGCGGTGCTTGAGAACCTTTGTGCTGAGGAGGTCCGGCATTTGACCAAGTCGTTGAAGTTTTACAAGCGGCTGAGAGCCTTGAAACTCAACTGCGTCTTCATCGGCAAAGAGGAGGCGAAGGCCCTGGGCGAGGCCGCGGCCTGCTGCATCGAGCTTCAGGTCAATCTCAAAGTCTTCTGTAGCCGGGCAGAACAGTAGTCCTAAATCCAAGCTGCATCCTCCTGGCAGATCCCGAAAGTCAACGGATTTCCTTCCATCCCCAAACTCCTTTTTGACAGGCTTTAGCTTCGCTGAAGACCTTGGAAGACATCCATATCAACCTTGCAAAAGGCTCTGATGGCGGTGCTGTGGCCGAGGCTCCGACAAGTTCAGCTTTGAGGGTAGCGGAGTCAGGACAAGATGCGACTTGTCCTGCCGTGGAATGTGGTCCCTCCCCAACAAGGCGCTGGCAGAGGCTTTGAAGCGGAACAGCAGCCTCAGCACGATCAAGCTCAGACGGAATCGCATCGGTGATGATGGGGCCAAGGCTGCCGTGCTTTCCAGGCCCCTCGCTTGCATTCATGTGGCCTTCCTGCCCCCCGGCCAGGCACTGGCAGAGGCTTT